AAGAAGATTTTAATAGAATCAATGCATTTTCACTATATAATCAATAGAGCCCCGCCCTAACACCGGAACCCCTGACCCTGGGGCCATGAAATTCACAATTTTTAAAAAGGCATCCTTATGCATCATAACCATGCACTTAGTTTGTTTAAATAATCTCCAGTAGCAGAGAAGAAGATTTTCAAAGAATCAATGCATTTTCACTATATAATCAATAGAGCCCCATCCTAACACAGAACCCCTGACCCTGGGGCCATGAAATTCACAATTTTTGAAAAGGCATCCTTATGCATCATAACCATGCACATACTTTGTTTAAATAATACCCAGGAGCAGAGAAGATTTTTAAAGAATTAATGCATTTTCACTATATAATCAATACAGCCCCACCCTAACACCAGAACCCCTGACCCAGGGGCCATGAAATTCACAATTTTGGAAGAAGCTCATCATAACTATGTACTTAGTTACTTAATTTATTACCCAGGAGCAGAGAAGACTTTCAAAGAATTAATGCATTTTCACTAGATAGTCGATAGAGCCCCGCCCTAACACCAGAACCCCTGACCCTGGGGCCATGAAATTCACAATTCTTGAAAAGGCACTTTTGCTCATCATAACTATGTACTTAGTTACTTTATTTAATACCCAGGAGCAGAGAAGAAGATTTTCAAAGAATTAATGCTTTTTCACTATATAATCTATAGAGCCCCGCCCTAACACCAGAACCCCTGACCCTGGGGCCATGAATTTCACAATCTTGGAAGAGGCACTCTTGCTTATCATAACTATGTACTTAGTTACTTTATTTGATACCTAGGAGCAGAGAAGAAGATTTTCAAAGAATTAATGCATTTTCCCTATATAATCAATAGAGCCCCGCCCTTACACCAGAACCCCTAACCCCGGGGCCATGAATTTCACATTTTTGGAAGAGGCACTCTTGCTCATCATAACTATGTACTTAGTTACCTTATTTAATACCCAGGAGCAGAGAAGAAGATTTTCAAAGAAATAATGCACTTTCACTATATGATCTATATAGCCCCATCCTGGGGCCATGAATTTCACAATTTTGGAAGAGGCACTCTTGTTCATCATAACTATGTACTTACAGTACCAACCAGACCCAACCTGACACCAAAGCAGTCCCAGAAAGCAGTCCCCGGGACTGCTTTGGGACCGCTGTGGAACTGCTTTGGGACCGCTGTGGGACTGCTCTGGGACCGCTGTGGGACTGCTCTGGTACCGCTATGGGACTGCTCTGGGACTGCTGTGGGACTGCTCTAGAAAGCAGACCCAGCAGTCCCTGCAGTCCCTGGGACTGCTTTCTGACTGCTTTGTTCACTCATGCGTGAAAAAGGTTCTGAGTGACATGATAGCTCCGCCCCTTGTGTATTCTGAATTTGCAGATCCTTTTGTTGTTTTGTTTACTTTCTGCAGAGAGCTGTTTAAGATAAAAGCAAATATAATAAATAGAGATAGTTATACATGTTATTACTAAATGTCTTCAGAGGGCTGTAAATTTACACAGTTGTAGTCTAGAATTAATTTTAAGAAAATAAAAGTAGTTAAAAAGGGAAGTCAGGGGATAATTTTTATCCCTTAAATTAAACTTCAATACAGGTGTTTGAAAAAAAAAATTATCTAGGCCTATTTAATAAATTAATGCTGTCAAATTACATATGTACTCAAAGTTTGCATTAGCACTATTTAAAAAAAACAAACAAAAAACAAACAAACTTGTCATTTCAGTAAGATACATGTATTCAGAGGAACGTACTGTACTGGATTTTTTCTTAATTGAAAAAGCTAATACCATGCTTAAAAAAGAGCACACCATGCTATTTTTTACAACCCTCAAATAAAACCTAATAATTTATTTAATGACCATCAAATAAAATTATTTTACCATTCTTCTGTCACATAAACAATGTGAACAATTATTCGGAGATTTATTTATGAATTAGTTTTTAATTTACAAACAAGTCATTAAAAAAGTTCATTTATTTAAAAAATAAACATTTGAAAATATCGGGAATTGTGACTTGTTTCTTATTTCTTTTGTTTGTGTTTACCTGGCCGGTTAATACAATGGGATTGTATAAAATGGTGTCAACACCTGAGGTTTCAATCGCCTTTGGGCATAATTAGCAGAAAGTCAATGCATGTTATTTGGGTATCAGTGTTACACATAACTGAACACGCTGGTCAACATTGACACTAATATCAATCTATGTCCTTCAAAAAATCTTAGTTTCAATAATTGTGTATAAAGAACAAGGTTCACATAGGGCCTTTTTTGGCCCTGTGAATTTCTGAAAAACTGAAACTGCTTCGTTTTAGTTGACAATGCATAAAATTACATTTAGACATTTGGCAATTACGAATCTACCAAAAATTACGTAATTTTCTGGCTAGTCAATGCATTATGACGACATGAAATGCGTCATTTTCCTCATATCCTGAACAATTCTACAAAGACAGCCAATTTTTAAAGCTATTTTTCAATATTTAATATAGAGCCCAATCTCTGATCTAAAATATGCAATTATTTACTGATAGAACCATTTCTGAGGATTACAAAACACGTTTTATTTTTTAGATCAGAGGTTGCGCTCATATTATTTTTCCTCTCTGAAAGTACTTAAATATACCTGTTTTCCTTAAAATTCAAGAACATTGCAATTCCATAAAGCTTGTTTTCCAAGACCTGGACTTTAAGGAGAAAAACTTTATTAGGAAATGAAAGCACTAAGTCTCTACTTTATCTTGGTGTTTCAAATGGAACATAAGGTGTTAGTCAAGAAATTGGTATATCTACAGGGCCATTTTATGCATAAAGTGAACCTAGCTCTTTATTTCGGGATTAATTAATTTTGAACATAATCTGAGGGTTCCATTTGCGTGATTTACAGATGAACACTCGAACATTTATATAATAAAACACTTAAAACTGAGGATCTAAAGATAATTAAATTGGGAAGTCATTGAAATTAATAATGACTGAAATATAATACTCGCCAATGTTTAACAAAGAATTTTTCAAAAGCTCCAATACTTAAGAAAAATGCATTCAGAGTATAGTATGGGAATCGGCCTTGCTTATAATCATTATTTTCTATTTATAGCTAATTCTGGTATAAAATAAACAATTCAAGTTTAATTTTCTATATAAAAATAAATAAATATGAAAACCAATATCAATCACAAAAAATAAAGAAATTGGTTTATTTTGGTTAAAAATTAATATATCAAATAATTGTGTTTAAATATTCATGTTATTAATAGGTGTGAACGTCTTCTTCATTCAATAATTATAATTTGTTTCTATACGCGTACTGTGATTTTCTTAACAGTTCAGAAATGACTGTCGCGTAAGAATTGTAAATCTTTGTTGATACTACTCAGAAAGAATTGCTCATCAATTTCAACTGCCTTTTATATAGTTACATTGTTTATTGGTAATCTCATTCTGAGTAAGTTCCGCCCATTCAATTAATTAACCCCGCCCACTGGGACTGCTGGGACTGCTTTCTGGGACCGGTGGGACTGCTGGGACCGCTCTGGGACTGCTTTAGCAGTCCCAGGAAGCAGTCCCCGGGACTACTCTGGGACTGCTTTGTGTCAGGTTGTGTCTGGTTGGTACTGTAGTTACCTTATTTAATACCCAGGAGCAGAGAAGAAGATTTTCAAAGAAATAATGCACTTTCACTATATGGTCTATATAGCCCCACCCTGGGGCCAGAACCCCTGACCCTGGGGCCATGAATTTCACAATTTTGGAAGAGGCACTCTTGCTCATCATAACTATGTACTTAGTTACTTTATTTAATACCCAGGAGCAGAGAAGAAGATTTTCAAAGAATTAATGCTTTTTCACTATACAATCTATATAGCCCCGCCCTGACACCAGAACCCCTGACCCTGGGGCCATGAATTTCACAATTTTGGAAGAGGCACTCTTGCTCATCATAACTATGTACTTAGTTACCTTATTTAATACCAAGGAGCAGAGAAGAAGATTTTCAAAGAAATAATGCACTTTCACTATATGATCTATATAGCCCCACCCTGGGGCCAGAACCCCTGACCCTGGGGCCATGAATTTCACAATTTTGGAAGAGGCACTCTTGCTCTTCATAACTATGTACTTAGTTACCTTATTTAATACCCAGGAGCAGAGAAGAAGATTTTCAAAGAAATAATGCACTTTCACTATATGATCTATATAGCCCCACCCTGGGGCCAGAACCCCTGACCCTGGGGCCATGAATTTCACAATTTTGGTAGAGGGCTCAATGCTTATTACAATGATGCCAACAGTTTGACTGCTTGATGTCAAGGAGTAAAGAAGAAGATTTTTAAAGATTGCATTATTTTTAGTGGTTTTAGCCCCACCCCTCAGGCCCCAGGGGGGCAGGGACCATGAAATTCACAAATTTTGTTCCCCTTTACCCATAGATGCTATATGCCAAATTTGGTTGAAATTGGTTAAGCGGTTTCAGAGAAGAAGCTAAAAATGTTCAAATGTTAACGCACGACGCACGCCGACGGACGAGAACGGATAGCAATAGGTCACCTGAGTGACTCAGGTGACCTAAAAATTGATGACACGTTTGGTGATTTTTGTACAGCATTGGAAATTCTTCAGTGCGTTGAATATTTGTTCGCGTCACAAAATTAATTCATCTGGGTTTGGAAATTGATACATGTCAAGTTCGTATTCTGACGAAAAGCTAATTAAACCTAAGATTTTGCTGATAGGAAGGGCCAATAAATCTAAAAGTCACTTCCAAAGCAATGCAATTCTTTCAGTGCCGTCTTCCCACGCTTTTACCAGCAATGCAATTCTTTCAGTGCCGTCTTCCCGCGCTTTTACCAGCGTTTCCAAGATGCAATGATTGGCATAAAAAGGCAGCAGCTTTTCATTCGTATAAAGACGATTTGTTTATGTCATTTGAAATATTTCACTCTAGTTCTGACACAGAAGATACATATACCTTATACCCAGCATTTGCTAACTTGTACGCACTCTCGCCCTGTTTCCACTCCCATATATTATTCCAGTTATAAGCCGTCACATCTCTATAAATGAACAATGGGGAAAATAGCTCCTCAATTAAAAGAAAGTAACTTTCTATTTCTTTAATTCAGTAAAGATATTGCAAATACCATAAACTTTAATCTTTAGATCATGCTGCTTTAAGACTGATGTTAGAAAAATATTTATATCTCATTTTATTATGAATTACGTGAAAGTGTTTTTATATTCATCATATAGATATGTACACAGATAAAACCAAGAATAGAATTTCGATTGTAAAAGGCACTCTTACCTATCGGTTGGAAAGTTTGTGAGATTCATACGTTCATCGTTATCCGTAAACATCTCTTCCCAAGCACCGGTGCTCAGCCCTTCTTTATCCAGAATCTGCACGAGTTGCTTCACAAAGTATTTTCTGAGCTCTCTGTCGTCACTTAAACCATGTTTAGCAAGGAACGCTTGACATTCTGGGGAATCTTTCCATACATCCGCCATGCCATCTCCTATTCACAGTTATATTTCAAGTGACAGTACTAGTTTGAGTCTTAAAGACTAAGAGAGTGAAAGTTAAGTACTTGTCATAGTATAAATGAAAAACATCTCTCTCTCTCTCTCTCTCTCTCTCTCTCTCTCTGTGTGTGTGTGTGTGTGTGTGTGTGTGTGTGAGAGAGAGAGAGAGAGAGAGAGAGAGAAAGAGGGTGTGTGTGCGTGTGTGTTTGGTATTGGTGTACATGTTGGAAACGACAAAAATTGAAATTAACATAAAAATGATATATGAATTAATGCATTGAAATCTCGTAAGACTTAGTATAACCGCGGACCATGTACTTGGCCTCATGTTTTACACAAAATTAAGTTTCCATTCAATACTACTTTAAATGCTAGTGGAAAACTATAAATGTGGACATATAATACCAACTGATGAAAGTACACATTGACTTACCTCCCACATGGATCATCTGAAGAGTTTGCGCCCCTTGATGCATTTCTTTCACTGCTTTAATGACGTATTGTATGAATTCCATTGTTGAGTTCATGCAAATATTTATAGCATTGTCTGAAAACATTTGCATGGTCAAATACTTAGTTTTGTCATCAAAATCAGTCAAGAGAAATTGATAAGCAGCAGACATATTTCTATATTTTGTGAACTTCCGGAATCGGGCTTCCATTGATTTTTTTGCTGCGCGACAGTGAATTGGCACTGATATTTCCGGTATCACTTCAATATGACGTTCATTTGCAAACGTTAAGATTTCTCTGTAATCATTTACTGTGTAAAATCCAGAACCGTAACTGTTTTTGGAGGAACCCGATCCTAGTTGTGGAAGTAAACAAACATTCTCTCCGGAATCATGACATCGTACAGAACCAATCTGTTTAAACATAAAAAAATAAAATTTAATAGCCCTTTTTAAACCTTAAATCTATTTCAAATACTTAAAACAAAACTTAGAAAAATCCCTGTTATAAAGAAACTTAATATATGAATCCCTTGGACGACGTTGCACTTTGCTCCGTTCACAGACCAGAAGGATCAGGTGAAAGCAAATTTCAAAATTCCTGTGGCTTCTCTATAGCAATGTTCATCGTGTATACGTAAGTAAAACGTTTCTTTTAAATTCTAACATATGTCTTTTACATCGTCTTGTACATTAACACTAAATGAATAAGGATCTCCGCCTCATCTCATCGCGGTTTTAACAAACCTCTGTCAATTCTGGTATCCCTGGAATCTGCAGTCTCCAGCCCTCGTCGTCTGTCAAATGTAGGTGGAACTTATTTAGCTTGTATGTGGCCATGGCTTCTAAAAGCTTGAATATTTCCTCTTTTGGTTGGAAATTTCGACTTACATCCAAGTGCATGCCACGGTACTGAAAGCGAGGCTGATCTCTAATTGTCACCTCCGGAAGTTCATTGACACCATTTCCGGTTTGAATTAAGCTTTGTAAGGTTTTGTAAGCGTAAAATGCACCTTTACTTGTGTGAGCTGAGATTCTTATTACAGACGTTGATACATCTATCTGATATGCTTCATCAGGTGTGTGTGAATTGTGCAGAATGTTCAAATGTGCTGCCATTTTAAGGGTTATATACTTATGGTGAGGTATGTTGTGTTGAATGCTTAAATTAAAGAGATCTGTAAATCAAGAGAAAAACTAAACAAAATTTCATGATACGTTTTACTAATAATGTAAACATGATATGGGAGAGTTTATTCTAAAGGATCTTAATTGTACATCTAAAAAGTACCTATGTACACGTACCTGCTATAAGTTTTGCCTCCTTTTCAAAAAAAGTAGTATGATAAAAGACCCAAGTACTATCAATTGTAACACTGCTATTCTGTTTCATATTCAAATGAACTGGAGTTGGTATGACTTGTTTAGCTTCCGTTCCAGATATAGTCATGACGTCATTAATGTCATATCTCTCCTGTGGACTGTACGGCGAGTATGAATCATCTGAGAAGCGATGGTATTGCTCCGGTCTAACAAAAGGATCAACAAAATTCAGAGATTCGTTTTTAGTTGACATGATATCTTTTGACTGCATACCTTCGGCAGCAACGTACCAATTTGGCATTGAATCTGTTTTCGCAACTTGATAACCTTTTGCAAGTAGAATGCATGTCACATCTCTTTCTTCTGAAAGACGGAACTCTCTGTCCGGTTTTAATTTAAATAGCGATCCACCTACATGGAATAAACGTAAATGGCAGTCCCTTAAAGTGTATCCATGGGGGTAAGGATATTCATCTGGCTGGAGGAGGTGTGATGTAAAGATACCAATTTCCCATGTCCCTGGACCGAGGGATATAATTCCACTGTTTTTCAAATTTACAGATATTGTGTGTTTTCCAGTATTATTAACATTACTTATTACGTCCAGTCGAACCACGAACTTTGTAGCAATGTAGTCCACTAAATGTTGTTCTGCAGCTGCCGGAGGTTCATCTAAAAATAAATTTCCAGATTTTGATCTTTGTCAATACATTTTTTTTTCACAACAGATCCTCTTAAAGTAACGTTGCCATATCCAACTATAATAAATAAAAGACAATACATTTGTCCAAATTTAACACCCTTTTTGTGATACGAATCTTGAATAGTGTGATTTCAAGTATTTCAAGGAAAGATAGAACAGTCACTCTACGATAAATGGACCAATTCAGAGTATAAAACATGAAAAAAAAAATAATTGTTTCGATCAGCAAAATGAATATCATAATTCTCTTAAGGACATATCAGTGAACTTGAAAACAAAGAATTGTCCACAAATCTGGTATCGTTAATTTTTTACAACAATTTCAAGATACCATTGATTTTATGGTAATGTTACGGAAGTTAATGCTTGATCAAGCCTTATTATTTTTTAAATAAAGCTGAATTTGACCAATTTTTCGTTTCTGATGTTCAGTAAAGAACGCTAAAGTATGATTCATGAAGCTTCGCATGAATCCGAATTTAAATTAAATTTTCGGGAAAAATATCGTTACGGAATTTAATCGTTACGGAAGTTAATTCCCAGCAATAAAAGTTAAAATTCTCTTCAATAGTTAAAATCAAAGTTTGATTTAGGATATTAAACAGTATGAAGCATTTCGATCCCAAAATAATAAAACAATTTATACCTTTAATGCAAAAACTTTCCTGAATTACCGTTACGGAAGTTAAATTTTTAAGAGAGACAACTGTTTTTGTCTAATTCATTTTGTTATGTCGAAAATGTAATCGTCTAAAATAGCTGACTCGCAACTAGAATCGATGATATAAGATTCCGTGGTCACTTTCAGATAAGTTTCAGTTCTTTTTGAAATCTGCATTCTATGCGTGAAATTTAAAACAAAATCGTTACGGAAGTTAATCGATTTTAAGCGACATGCTTATGATTTCACATGAAAGGAGATCCATGCATTTCTTTGCGAGAAGTGGTTTGATTTCTTTTTATATAGGATAAAAGACATTTTTTTACATTCATTGCAGTCTATTCGGAACGATTTTACGGCTGAAAATTTCACCTTGAAATTTGTAAATAAATGAAGCGACATTAAGATTTGCAGTGGAATATGTTTTTCAACATTACATTATGTTCATATCAAAACTTTAACTGCATATATATCGGTGAATATTTACTAAACCATGTGTATATGTTAAGTCTTAGAGTTGAAATCGACCTTTAAATTTATAGTAAAAATATTACAACGGAAAATTTGTAAGCGACATAAAAAATACTTAATTGGTCATGTTTTTGTAGAGTGACTGAAGAATGCTGTGTCAAATTTTGATTTTTGATGTGTAATGGGCCATACTCTCTGCTTTTTTAGCATCAAACCTGTATTTCTTAACATACCTGTATTTCTTAACATACCTGTATTTCTTAACATACTTTAATTATGAGTATGCAGATATACGAGGGTTGATCAAAAGTAATGTTACCTTGATATAACTCTTTAGTAATAAAAAATATATATATTGGGGAAAAAAATGTAAATGCTTCTGTTTATTGTGATTTTGCCTTAAATTTTCTTTCAGATGTGTGCAATTCTCAAAAAAAAATATTGAAATAAACACAACGTTACACGTATGTCTCGTCTATCGCCGCACTGCAAAAATGTACCGAGTCGTTAAGACGTTTCTCTTAGTCACTTTCAGTTCATCCACAAATCTATTAAATATATCACATATGTGTTTTTTATTTCATGTTTACTTTGTCCATGGAGTGTCTACTTTTGAGCACTTATATAAAAAAAAAATTAAACTTTCATCATGCATTTGCATATTTATTTCACTGTGTGTACATGTAGATCTTTCGTATCTGATTTCAGAAGAGGTAGGTGACGTGAAAGGCTCATTCTCCATGCACTTTCTTCTTCCTGGCATCTGTCCATATTTTGACTTCCATTTACATTCATCAGGTATTTAAGGCATTTTTTGTATCTTTATAATGTAGAATTTTTCTGTTTTTTAATTTTTTTTATCGAACGTCAAGACTGGCATTAAGTCAGGTTATCAAACGCATAAGCATTTCAACTGAGGTAGAAGTAACTGAGTGGACGATTAGTCAACCTACTGATGTACATTGTATATGAAGATGTATAAGATCCACATAAAAGGATTGAATTTAGAAATAACATTTGGACAATATTCATTAAAAATACCATTCAAATCTAGATTTTTTTTAGCAAAATAGCAGTAAAGCTTTTTTTTTCTTTAAAGAAGCATTTGAGATATTAAAAACATTGATAGGTTATCTGAAAATGAAAGCCGGAAAGCAAGGAACTAACGCCATTGATGACATTCTTCCCGTGCGGCGGTAGGCAGACCCTAACGTAGTGATACATGTAATCTTCACATTTCGAAAAAGCATATTTTTTTTTAACTGGATGAAATTTGAGTCAATATTTAAAATGAAGATGAGTATCAGTATGTAAAATTTGATAAATCACATTCGATTAGCAAAGATTTTATACCTGCTGTGACATTATTTTTGTATCAATCAGCGCACTTTGCAAAAAAATAGAGCGAAATTGTGCTTTTACCGTTCACATTAAGAATATGGATCGAAATGTTCATTTTGCCTTGATTGCAATTTCGCAACTGTGCTTTGTATTTCGACAACCACTAATTTCAATTCTTATGAATTGTATTAAATAAGAAAGAATTTGAACGAAATGTACATGTACATAATTTTAACGTAAACTAGTGGTACAAAGTACTAGTAAATTTATTTAAATTTCATTTTTTTTTTTCACATTCTGATTTAAGGAGATATCGGCATTTTTTTTTTTCGGGATTGTTTGTCATGCTCCTTAAATTGTGCATGACAGACAAAAAAAGAAAAAAAAAATAAGAGCATGTTCACATGCATCAAGACACACTTCACTGTGTACCAATTTGTTGTTTTAAATCTAAAAAAAAAATCTTACCTGGATAAAATGTTATTGCTAGGCTGAATCGCTTTCCATTTCGAGAACTAGTAATCAACAATATAAGAAGATTATTTATACAAGGCATAAAAAAATGATTGCAAAAAATAAGCTAACAATTCAATAATTATATTGATCAATTAAATACGATGTAATATATAATATGATATGATATAATATCATCATATAATACAATAATGTAATATCGTACAATAAAATTAAGATATGAATGTTAAAAGGAACCCAAATTATAAATGGACTATCAGAGTTGTGGCAGTTTTCACTTTATTAACAGCAAAGTGGTTTATAAAATGTGTAACCTATTCGATCCCATGTTATACAAGTATAACTTGTGTAACCTTTAAATTCACTCCTTATAATTTAATTTTCTACCTTTCATTGAATGAAATTAGATGATAATACCTTTAGAAATGCCTTCAACTTGTACAAATATTAAATTTAAATCAAACGTATTGATGAGCTTCTGGATGCTTTACCATTCTAGTTAACGTGGGCAACACAGGGTATACGATATACAATGTAACTTTGTTTCTCATCCATGCAATCAAATCGCGCATTCTTTTCAAAATTTAATTATAATATAATATAATTTGTTTAAAAATGGTTCCTATATAAATCTGTACTAAAAAAAAGTCCAATAACTCCAATGTTTTACTGAGCTGTCATAAAAAGATCGATGTTTAACCGCAGAGTAAGATCCTGGACCTGTCGCTGAGATAATGTCAAACAAAAATTTTACGCCTGTGTTCTCGAGCATATCAAATGTTACCCTAAAACCCAGATAATAAATGTATATTTTTTTTCATTGATACCAGAAATAAATTAAACGTGTTTAAACAGATGTGTATATGTTATAAGAAATCAATTTTGTCTATTTCATGGATAAAAATAGGAAGGAGGGGGTGGTAAATGTACATTCTTTTGGATTTCTTGTCGCTTTTACGTTGAGCATAAGTTTGATTTGGATTAAAAACAAAATCTTTTTTTCGGGTTTTATTCATTATTTATTGGGGGGGGGGGGGGGGGGGTTGAGTAAATTTGAAATTGATCGCAATGCGTTAGGCTTCATATGACAAAAAGAGACTGTATGTGTATATTATACCAGTTTCTGATAATTCTGATTTTTACCATTGCATTTAAGCGAACAAACCTTGTTCTCAGTCGTATAGAGGTATATGTTGGTCTCCATCCACTTGGAACATCTTGCCATATGGCACCATTATCTACGCTATACTGTACAACATGACCAGGGAATTCTGTGTTCACATGAAGTGTACCGTTCTTTATTCTGTGAAATAATCATAAACATCAGTTTTGGTTGATCAATTAATCTAGGTTCACTTGTTCGATCGAGGGATCGATCTATTACTTGGTAACTTTCTCGATCAATCGATCTGTCCAACACCGTTTAGATTGTTTGATCCAAATAACAATAGACAGATACACAAAATGATATAGTTATCTTTGTATTTTTTATATCTGAAGCGTTTTTAAAGAAAAAAAAAACAACTACGTAAACAACTTTAAAACCATTTTCCACATTAGAATTATATTTCCCTCCAAAACCTTTTTGCATCTGACTTGCAGTAATTGAAAATATTTATCTCATATTTGAAAACTATCTTCCATTTTTGGTAATTAAGTTTTCGCTTGTCATTTTACTCTTTATTTCTCGTTTAACCTGTTTACTGTTATAGAAAACAGAAAAAAAAAACAACCAAACTTTGAACAACACCTCTCATCTTCTAACGATTTCTTTATTTCTATACGGTTCAGCTTAACAAAAATGATGTGGCTCGTAACATACACATATTTATTTGATTTTCTGCCCTTGGTATCGCAGACACAGGACAAGTGACAAAATGAAGTTGTTGAGAAAAAAAAAAGAAAAAGAAAAATAGACATCATAACAGTCTGAATTAAGCAGGTCGCAAAAACGTATATTAAAATATAGTGCTTACATTGCACCTGGCGGACCAATTCTGTAATATATACCCAGTGTATTCAAGCGATCGAATTCTTTATAACCAATTGTGTTTGCAAAAATCTGCCAGTCAGATAAAGAGCCAATTTCTCCATCCGGATAATCTAAATCTAAATCTTCCCAAGAAGCTTTATGCCATGCTCTTTCGGCAAGGGACAAAATTCTTGGAAACACCATATAGTCAAAGATTTCAGAGGTCAGCAAAGTTTCGCTCCAGAGATTGCCTTGTAATCCTGAAAATGCACATGAAATTTTATTCAATTAGTATAGTTTTTCTAGTCCGATTATAAACTTTTCTGATCATCAATCCCTGGTCAAGCGTTTATTAAAAAAGTAAAAATAAAAAATATCAGGGATGTATAATAAGTATAAGTGAATAATGTTCAATCATAGTGTTTACTTTCCACTTTGTTTACTTCGTATATTGTAAGAAACAGTGCATACATTTTAATGCACTACATCATTTCATCACTCAATCTAATTTAAATTATACAAATGTCGTTAGCTTACCAATGATATTTTTGGTATTTATCAGCGGTGGACAGTTGGCGTCGTTTTTACCACAAACCTGTGGGTATTCTATCCTCTCTCCAGATCGTTTAACATCAATGTTTCTGTATAGTCTGTCCGGAAGGAAACGGAAGGTTTTAGCCACGTCCGTGTATCGCGTGGCCCAATATAAGCCGGGCTCTTCCGGATCTGGTTCATTTGGTTGGTCAAAGTATAAATGAGTAGCTTGTGCCATGATAACCTTTTAAGATGAAACATAGGAGGAAAAGGAGGAAGGAAGTACATGTACATATCTTAGCAACATATTGATTTAAATGGAACTTTTGTTATTCAGACAACAATGAGTTGGTGTGTAATCAAACTGTTAATCAAAACTTTTAGAAGCACATTGTTCAATGATCAATTTTGTTTCTATTTTGCATCCTAGTTCCAGGATGGTTATACCTAAGTTTTCTTATAGTCGACAATATCACTTATCTTTCTTATGAATAAAGACACATGATTATTTTTAATCGACAACACAATAATCTTTTTTTGTAAATCACTTTCTTTGTTTGGCTGATAGACAACATGGTTTCTAATTTAAAACGTGTTTTTCCCCATTTTTTAAAAATATATCTTTGTTATTTAACAAGTACATGTAGCAGGTCAAATTAGAGAGACAAAATACTGGAGTTCGGAATAATAATAGTAATTATAATAATTAACAAAAAACCCAAAGACCTCATGAAAAGTATTTATTTTAAAGTTAGAAACGTGTCAGTTTCGTAGATTTTTTAACGGACTCTCCTACTAAAAAGTAATTTGAATGCCGCCCGAGTCTTGAACATTGGAGAACACAGTCTAAATTGTTTTGCATGTAAATGAAACAAAAAAAAATAATAGAATTTCTACATTAAAGACGTTAATTCACTTTGTATTATTGATAAGATACATTAGTTCACTTTTATTAGAATCTCAAATGAATGAAAGAAAAAAAAACAGAAACAAAAAACAACACAATATATAAAAGTCAACAGAAACAGTATACCTTGTAGCCACTATTTGCAAGGTTATAGGCTCTTTTTGCTGCACCCCATTCCCAAACATTTTGCCAAGCATTTGCGTATACTTTTGAATTTGGAATGTTGCTCCTGTTGTATGGCATCCCATTATATCCCAAAAATCCATCTTCCCATCCCGCAATGTTAAGGCCAAGGCGGTTCGTGATATTAGATACTCGATGCACAAAATATTCCTTTAAACGCCCAGCGAATGAATAGTAAGAATCATGTGCCGCCATTGTTTGACATTTTGTTGAATTTACCCATGCGCCCTTTGCTACATCATCTCCTCCAAAGTGAAAGGTTTTTAATCCCGGATGGATTTTCAACATTTCTTTCAGTACTTTCTCTAAGAATTCATAAGTTGATTCCACGCACGGGTTAACTGCGTTGTCATTGTACATCTGAACAGAAGAATATTTACTTGTATCATTTGGATCCACCAATCTATACTGGTTCGCTTTGGTTAAATTAGTTCGCTTGTAATTTAAAAATCTGGCTTCCATGGCCTTTATCGCAGCTCGAGCGTGACCAGGCATGTCAATTTCTGGTATAATTTCGATATGGCGTTTTTTAGCCTCAAGAACAATTTCTGTATATTCGGAAACACTAAGGAAGCCAGAAGCGGAGGTCGATTCGTCTCCTCCAGACCCAAGCTGAGAAATTATACACTTTGTTTCAGTTAGATCATGACATCGTTTTCCTCCCACCTGTTGACAAAAAAGTTCATTTTTCAAAATTAGACCTCACTTAAAGTTGCACATATTTTTTTTATTTTTGGTGGTTTTAGTTTTGTTGATTTAATCCTCCCAAATTAAATTTTATGTTTTAACAATGCTACAATCTCATACATCTTGGCGAGCCTTATATAAATGCAAAGCTGTGTTATAAAAATCAGAATGATATCAAATAATCTACCTTGGTTCCAATGACTAAATTGTTAATATTGTTCTCAAAGCAAATCGTTAATTAAGGTACAGTGTGCTTACTTTTGTTAGCTCAGGTAGATCAGGAATTTCTAACCGCCATCCTTCATCGTCAGAGAGATGTAAATGAAGTTTGTTTAATTTATACATAGCCATTCCATCCATCAAACGAATAATATCTGCTTTTGGTCGAAAGTTCCTAGCTATGTCTATGTGCATTCCTCTGAACTCATATCGAGGCTCGTCTTGTATGGAAACTTCCGGAACACTTATTTTGTCAAAAGAACCATCCACTAGACTTATCAGCGATTGTGCACCGTAAAATACAGCTGTAGTGGTCTGGCCAAAGATATTGATCGTTTTATCTTTGATTTTCACAAGTAAATTGTAAGCTTCACTGTTATTTCCGAAGGTAGGGTCAACGGAAAGAAATATTTGGTTGTTCTGTGTTCTTCCCTGTGTATAATTGTTTACTAAGACTGACAAACCAAGCCTTTCTAGAAAAAAAAACAGAATTTTATAATGTCATGTAAGACAGGTTAAGAGAATGTTCCTATAAATATCTTCGTTTTCTAGTCAAGCATTGGCGGTATATGACCATATTCCATGTACATTCAAATTCATGAAAATTTCTTTTCTTACTGTGTCTTACATTACATCAAATGATATATTTATGAAAGAATAAGACTGAGAGAATACTTAAAAACTTGAAAACTTAAACAGTCGTCGAAGGTTTCTTTGTGGGCTGTAATAGGAAAGTGGCAACTATTTTTACACTGTAATATCTATCAGACAATTTAGCTGCAGTAAAATAAGGAAGATGAAATGGAATATTTAAGGAATACCTGTCTAATTTTCTTTAAGTGACTGCAGCGTTTATACATAAAATTATCACGCTAGCAAGCGGATTATAATCAGCATAAAATTTAAAAAAAAAAACGACAGTGTTCTCTATATTCAAAACTTGATCCCTGATGCAATAAAAAAAAATTTTTTGTTAATTGTTTAACGTCCCTCCCGAGAATTTTTCACTCATATGGAGACGCCACCACTTGCCAGTAGAAAAATGCGAACTTGACCTACATGTATATTTAGGACCATTGAACAGTGAGTGATCCTTTTCGTGCCAACACCTACTGCGACACGGGACCTTGGTTTATACGGACCGGTGTCCATGTCCCGCAGTGGAGTCGAACCCGCGACGTTGGGATCAACTCTGACACCGCGACTCTAGAGCAAACGCTCTAACCACTGCGCCACGCGGGCGACCATTTTTATTAAATAATGAGATTAAATAATGAGAAACATTCTAGTATATTCTGAGCATGCTAAGCAAAGCTAAGCAAATATCTGTATGAGAATATAAAGTATTATCTTATACGTTGTTTTATTTTGGACAAAGACGTTTGAAAATGTTCATACCTATATATATATATATATATATATATATATATATATATATATATATATATATATATATACATATATATATATATATTAGAATTAATTTAACTTACAAATTTAAGGAAACTCTATACACTATCAAAAATGGATTTTGTACATATTGAGTCAATCTAGTTTATTTTTAATGTAAGGTATCTGGCTTATTGCCCCAAGAAAACGTTCAAAGAAAAGAAAGTACTACTATACAAAAATCTCTGTTGTTTACTCATGTCTGTAAAGATATTTAATATATTTAATTGGTTATTTTGGTTTTATTCAGTGTTAGAATGTATTACTTTATCTTGTTTAAATTGTGCATTTGTGTTTACTCTAACTTACATAGGGATATAACTCTGACTGCAAAAAGGCACCTTGGCATTAAAACTCTGAAGTGTGTTTAGAGCTTTCTTATTTACGAAATGAGAGACTGCCATACTTGTGACAAAAAGGTATCTTTCCTTATAATCAACTCCTTCAATAGACAATTCTATACAAAACGTAATACTAGTATCTGCTGAAATCATAAAAGACTCATCAACTTAGCTATAGTTATATGCTGTTTTCTACTTAGGGAAAAACCTTTTGAATATCTTTCTTCCACAGGAAATTTCATACAGACATTAAATGTAAATAAATCTTCCTAAAGGTGATCTTCATGATCTGATTGAATTAGATATATACTTACTTGATAAGTAGTCCGCTTCTTCTTTTAAATCTGCTGTACATACAATAGTCATGTTTCGAATCTTTAGAGAATTATTCGAATGTACTTGAATGTGTTTTGGCGTTGGGAGAACTAATTTTAAGGAGTCGGTAGGTACTCCAGCATCATATTTTCTATAGCGTTCTTGTGCCGTATAGGGATTGTATTGGTCAATCCGGTACCTCTTCCATTGCCTTGGGGAAGTAAAGTCCGACACAAATCGCTTTCCTGTAAAGGTTGACTGAATGTTGACGGGTTTTAAGGATGGTGCCGCTACATACCAATTTGGTGGAAGATCTGTTCTGGAGACAGCCCAGAATTGTCCATAAAAGTCAACAAAATATCTCTCATTTGCTAAAAGTCTTGGAAAACCGGATGTCGGGGACATGCTAAACAAACACCCTTGTATGTGATTTATTTTCAAGTAATAGTGCGGTAGAATATATCCGTCAGCCGATGGTAGGTGATCAGGTTCAATCATAAAGAAACTACAGAAGTAAATCGACCAGCCTTCATTTTCTACCACGCCGTTTCCGATGTTTGTCAAATTGAGACTAAATTTATGTTTCATGCCATTTTCTTTTAAATTGTCTTCGACAGCTATTTTTATATCGAGATAGGTCCCCATATAGTTGAGATCAGCTTGTTGTATCGCATTTGCTGACGCTACAATTAGAAAATATATGATAACTTGTAAGAAATGTATGTATCCACACCTATGCAATTTCTTGTGACAACTATGATACGATCTATTTCAATTTCCTCATGACCTCTTTAGTAAAAAAAAATGCTTTTTTAGAAACAATGAACGTCGTTAGAAATTAAAATATAATACACTTTAATGGAAATATGTCATCGAAATCATTGCGTCTTGGGTTTCAACAAAGAATAATTTCTAGTGTGTCTTCCTGTAATAAATGTGATGAAGCAAACAGAGAGGTCTATACCAAAGTTTTATTTCAATCTGTGTATCGTACTTTTGCAAGCTTTAAGACATTAAGATGATATTCTTTTAGGAATGGAATGCATATTTATGAGTTACGGACTGAGTTTTCATTAATATCTGCTTCGGAAGTTTGTTAAGGAATTAAAGCATTTGGACTTGAATATATTATTATGAAGTACACTTATAAGGGACTACTGTTTGCTTGTGCAATAATCTAATAATGGTTGTTTCTCTATAAAATAATGTATATGAATATCCCTTTCCCTTTAAAGTATTCTTCATCGCGGGTTGGTAATTATGTTCCCCGTGCGCGCAATGGTAAGATGACCAATATACTTGATATAGCTGGAACTTATATATTTTTGATGAAATGTTTTGATATTGAGAATATAAATGACCAATATACTTGATATAAGCGTAACTTTTATACTTTTTGATGAAATGCTTTGATACTCAAAATATTTATATATATTAGAAGTGTAGACAAGATGACATGTTCATCATGCACATGCATGCATTGCATGCACGTGCGCGCGCGTGCAATGTGTTACATGACCAATATACTTAATATAGCCGTAATTTTTATATTTTTTGATGAAAAGCTTTGATATTAAGAATATACAGATATAATAAAAGTGTAGACAAGATAATGTGGACATCATGCACATACATGCGCATGCGCGCGCGTGCAATATGTTAAATGACCAATATACTTAATATAGCCGTAACATTTATATTTTTTGATGAAAAGCTTTGATACTAAGAATAAACAGACAAATTATAAGTGTAGACAAGATGGCATGGTCATTATGAACATGCATGCAGGTGCGCGTGCGCGCAATGGTAAGATGACCAATATACTTGATATAGCTGGAACTTATATATTTTTGATGAAATGTTTTGATATTGAGAATATAAAGATGCATTAATAGTATAGATTGGATGACATGGTCATCCTGCACATGCATGCACGTGCGCGCGCGTGAAATGCGAAAAACGACTAATATACTTCATTGCCTTATTTTATGAAGCTTACAGAAAATAAGACACCAAAAGGGTGTTGGGGAGCGTTTGGGGAACATCTGTAACGGTTCCCGTTACAATTTTAACTAGTTGATTTTATTGTTTTCCGGAGTGGTCGTCAGCTGTGAAATTTACTGCATTCATATACTGTAGAATGGATTGATTGATTGTATATTGTTTTACGTCCCATTCGAGAATTTTTCACTTATATAGAGACGTCACCATATACCGGTGAAGGGCTTCAAATTTTGACCTTTACTCGGCACTCAGGGCCATTGAGCAGTGAGGGATCTTTATCGTGCCAACACCTGCCGTGACATGGTACCTCGGTTTTTAAGGTCTCATCCGAAAGACCCGCAACTTTCACTCCAAAGTGCCGAGCGCGTGGCGAAGGAACAGTTGCTACCTAGGTCTGTCGCGGCCGAGATTCGAACTCACGACCTCCCGATCACGGAGCGAGCGCTCTACCGACTGAGCTACCGTGAACGGTCTGTAGAATGGAAGTAAACTAAATGTAGATAACAACAACCCCCCCCCCCTCCCAAATTGTGTTTAGAAATGGCAGGAAATTGTCATACATGAGGAACTTGGCGTTACAATAGATATCGTGTATCAATTTCAATATCTTGGTATGATGTTCAACTATAATGGTTAATTTATCCAAACACAAAAACATTTTCTGAACAAGAAAAAAGGTTACGTACAGTTTGTTTAACAAAATGAAATGTTGAAACTCAAATAGCTCTTTTTGATATTTATGTAAAGAGTGTGTTATGCTATGCATCAGAAGTGTGGGATTTTCATGAGAGACCTGATATAGATGAAGAATTTTAAAGGTTAGGAAAAGTACTTTTAAAATATGGTTTATTGTGAGCTTGGAAGATTTTCACTTGAAATTTAGAGAGAAAAAATAAGTCATTGTTTAAAATTATAACATATAACAATTGTATACTTACATGTTAGTCATATTTAAAGGAAGATGTAGAAAATGATGATGTATAGATTATAAATCACAAAGTAGCAACACACAGGGGTAGTTGTATTAAGAAGACTGACGTTTTTATACTTTGTATATTCGTTATACTTAAAAAAAAAACAATTTGATAATTTATATGCACAAAATATAAATAAAAGAAATTTTCTTAAAGATATCGAAGTAAAAAAAATCACGAAACTATTTTAAACATAACAAGTGACTGAATGAAACATGAAAATAACAAACAGTAATCAATCTCAATAGTCCATTGAAACAATACAAAATTGGAGAAGAAGAAACAAGGACCTCTAAAATGTCAGAGATGGGTGCAGGTGCCATGGGGGAGTAAGCATCCCTTGTCGATTAATCACACCCGCCGCTTGTTCATCGTCATGATCAGAAAAACAGGAAAAAAAATCGTAGACAATTGAGTGTTTAAAAAATGGCCTAACAATTAGTGTGAAAAACGTCAGTCACCATTCGACTTAAAGATAGACTGTATTTGCTGACAAGGTCATTGTGTCGACCATAGAACTTGCGAAATGTTGACTTTAAACGAGACTGTTGATATCCTTGTTTTACCAACTTGATTATCAATAGCTTGCCTCGTTTTCGATATTATTCGCACATGCAGCATTCTCTTGCGTATGGAATCAATAGGGAGATGTAAACCCCATATGCAGGTGATAAGGGTTTATTGCTACAAAAGAAAGGGAAGCTGACGATGGAAAAGTTGAAGTCATCACGTTTATCATAAAGTTTTGTTGTAAATTTACCAGTAACGTCTTTTCTGGTAAATATCTAAATACTGTACGAAAAGATGTGTCAGACTCTGTGATGTGTTTTATATCAAGTTCACTGGAATATATCGCGTCGACATATAAATGGAAGTAGCTATTGTTACTTGATAATACGTCGTCGATACATCTAAATGTCGAGTTAACGGTCACAGCAAATGTCTTCTTTTCATGTATAAGTTTTTATATAATTTTGCTTCATACGAATATAAGAATAGGTATGCTAAACACGTGGCGCAATTTTTTCCATAGGAATTCTGACAGATTGTTAGAAGACTTGATCCCCAAAAACTATAAAGATATCGTCAATCGTAAACTCACACATCTTATTAATATCTGCTTCAGAGTATGTGTGTGTACGATCAGAATGTTTTTAACAGAATAATTTTGTATATGACCAATAGCAAGGTGAGTAAATTTACGAGTTCCATTTTTATTGAAGAGGCAACTGTCTACGATGTCAAAAAAAAGCCTGGACTTAAGTTATCGTGGGAAATGTGGTATAAAGTGTTGAAAAGACGTATGTTTTGATGTTATCGATTTTGTTAAAAGTTTGCAATTTCAAATCTATAAGTTTCTAAGAGTTTTTTTCTTAGTAACTACATCTAATTTACATCACTTCTTGGTGTAAATATTGCTGTATGGTACTCTTGAAGTTTCTCCTTCATTGATGTTAAAATCTTAGTGAGGAGTAAAGAAAGAGGCTTAGTAGACCATTTACTGGAACCCGCTTCGTATATTATATGTTTCTTTGCAAGGATTTTTTATGTAAAATGTGAATCCTGTACAGATATGGTGATTTAAAATCAACTGGGTGTCGAGAATATAAAAAAAATATTCAAAACTGACATAAATTGTTTAGGATAAAATAAAGTGACCGAGACCGATACTCCTGAGTTAATACTCGATAAAATTTAACTCCTAAATATATACATATGTATACTTCATTTTTTATAGGTGATCTAATAATTTTCTCATGAGTACAGTAAGGTGCATAAGATAAGATGTAATCTTTACCAGTATGTTTTGCCAAAGTAAACATCAATGATAAAAATTAAAAAAAAAGATATTATTTTGTGCAACACCGTATTCGTGTTATCTATAAATTTAAGGCACGCCAGTGAATAAAAGCAGCAAATGAAATCAATCCAAGGATAAAAAAAAAACATGTTAATCCATATTAGCAACAGCATAATTGCATGGTCCTGGGTCGGATGGGATCAGAAAATGGGATTAAGTTTAACACTGGATTAATTATCGAGAAGAAAGATTTTCTTATCAAAAACACAGGTGCTATTAGTCAACATATTAGTAGGTCAAGTTTCCCATATATTGAAGTTATATTCAAGTTTCTTCTTGTCAAACCCCTTGGTACAAAGACCTAGGAATATATTGGAATAAAAAAAATCCAAAAAAAATATCTTACGTTTTATAACATTACAATTATTCCTACCAATACTTGAGCTTCCATATGTAGTGTAAACAATATAAAACAATTTGAACAAAACCTAAAAGAAGGGGTAGTGGAAGGGCCCTAATACTCTTTAAAACTTATATGGGCCACACGATTTAGTAGGGAAACATTAAACATCCTACACTTAGTGTTGGAAAAAAATGGAATATTCTTCTTCAGAAGGAACGCATGCTGACATTTTTTCATACTCCCGCTTGAAGAAGCTGGGGGGGGGGGGTAATATATTGTGATGGCGGTGTTCGTCCATCCGTATGTCCATGCTTGCGTCTGCACGTCCCTTATGATTTGTGATTATCATCCCTTATCCGCAAGCACTTCTATACTTCTAGGTAAATTTTAATGAGGATTTCACAGAGAATATATAGTCAATTATCGTTTTCTGATTTATGTAACAAGTGGTTCTCATTATAAATAATTGAGAAAATCTGCAGTGAACTTAAATATTC